CAAAAAAAAAAAACCAAATCCTTTTCTTTTGCTTTTCGTTTTCAGTAATTATGAAAACAGGAAAACTGCAGTAAACAAACATTTAAATATTTTAAAAGAAGCCACTTCTACTAAGTTGATAAATAAATATTTAGTGTGGTGACAAGAAATTCTTTAGAGTAAAATTGTTTTCATATTGTTACCACCAAGTATACGATGCTGGAGTTTCAGTAATTCTGCCTCAACAAGTTATGCTTTTCTGAGGGATTTAAAATCTCCAAGGCAAGGTCAGAGCACGGAAGATCCACATCATGCGATGTACATCCTTCATTCTTTTTAAGAGAAGGATCCTATAGCTTCTTATAGAAGCCATCTGCTAACAGTCCACACGTTTTCCTGCATATAACTCAGAAAAGGATATAATCTGAAGCCTAAACCTCAGCCTGTTGTTCCAGAGGGCACTGCAGCCACTGGGGATGGCAGCACCGAGCACTGTGGTTACCACAATGCTGGGAGGATGGAAAAAACCTGTCCCTGCTCAGCTCCTGCAAGAACTGAGCACTCCCAAGGCTCCTGGCCAGTGTGACACTCCCAACAGCCACCCCCCAATTCACATCCCTGGGAAAGGACCTTGTCCAGCCCCAGGAAGATGGGCTACCCCTGCTGACAAGGGTATGCAAAGGGCTGTCTCCTCCCTTCCCCAAAATCCTAAGGCTTCCATAGCAGGTATATCAACAGGTCTGAGGTTTCCCTTGCATGGTTAAGGAGCCCTCAGAGAGCAGATCCAACTGAGTGTTATCTCAGCTGATCTAGTCCTGGAAACATGCCCAGACATTTATGGTGTCTGGTTTAAGTTTGTATTATTATGCAATATTCTCGGTCGGTGATGACACGAAGATTTTAACCAAGTTAATCTTTCAGGATCAAGCTCAGCTGCTTGACTTTAAATTAAAACATTTTTAGCCAACAGACTCTTAATATGTAGAAAAATATCCCTGACAGAAAGGATGTTTAGGACCTTACCCTCCCTGCCTTTCCTTTAAACCATTTGTATTATTAATAACTAGGTGTTGACTCAGTTTTTCCTAATCTTGATCTATTCCTGCTATCAGTCATATGGCCTGTTTTATGTTCTATTTAATGAAGCCTTTTAATGGAAATTAGAGAACTCATAATTTCTTTTAACTTACAATTGTGACTTGCCTCACTTCCAGACTACATAAATCAGTGCATTTCCTAAAACTTGACTTTAAAAGCCTTAATCACTGCTCACAAATGATGCTATTTCTCACATTAAGCTGTACAAGTCAAACACCTCAGAATTTGTTACAAAGAGATGCCACAAGCACCAGCTGAAGAGCAGCACCTCTCCCTGAAATGGTCTCAGTGGAAAACCCTTTTCCCTAGTTTATTAAATAGGTTTACCATTAAAACAATCATATGCTGTCCACTGACAAAAGGCTGCACCAATTCAAAAGTCTGAAAGTAAAGGGAGGGTTCTGAGCCATAACCACCCCCCCAGGCACATTCTCTTGCTTTCACTCAAGTCCATTTGAAACAGGTTAATACTAAAGCAAAGTAAGTCACTCAAGCTGGAATCAGGGTGGGTTTGCACTGGCTTAACTAAAAATGCCAGGGGATGAATGAAACCTCACTGTTATCTGGTGCCTGCAATAAAACCATATGTAATGGGCCTTCTGTTTGTTTGGGTAAGTATTTAAATGCAGTTTAAACTTGATTTATGCCAACTTGGTTTAGATAATATGCAGAGTGGTTTGAAGACTGGTTGATAAATGGAGCAAGATGGAGATACAGAAAAAAAACCCCAACAATCTTTACCTTACAGATTAATTTTAAAATGTGTTCAAAAGATCCCACTAATAAGCAAGAAGGGAATTTCTTACTGGTAGATGTTCTGTGAAGGAAATAAAACTAAGGTGGTTTTTTTTTTCTTTTTAAATTAGGAAGAAAATCAGAGCGTTACTGAATGAAGACTCCAAAATATCCATAAAGGAGAATGTTTTGGAACAAATACCCTTTGCTAGTCTTCTTTCTTTCCTCTTCATCCTATTATCCTTGTTTAGGTGCCTTTGTTTTGCATTCAAAGACAATATTTTCTAGAGTTCTTTCAATGTTTTGAGAAGTTTGTTCCTAAAAGATTTAAAAGACTTCCTTATAAGACTTTAAATTACTTCTTTGGGTATTTCACTTTCTCCCTCTGATTTTTGTCAGTAGTGCCACTGTTTAAACTGATGAAAGTCTGACACATTATCCACTTTCAGAACATACTAACAAAATCATCAGCTGTTTTGCTGGGATGAAAAAACAAACTCTCTGACAATTATATCATTAAACAAGTAACACAGGTGAGAAGTGCTGCAGGTTTCTTGGATGCTTTTTAAAACACGACCTAAAAGTCACTTTACCATTGACCAGAAGAATATCTGAGCAACAAACGTCTTCAGGCAACCCTCGAGACACAGAAATCATGGAAACACAGCTTCAAATCCAGCTTATTATCAAAGCTGACAGTACTATGTTCATCAGCTTCTACAAAACCTGGAAGAAACCCAATTTCTCTCAGAGTTATGGGTCATATGCACATTTAAGAGTAGCCCAGCTGGCAGTGAAGTTTCGAAATTTTCACATTTTTGTAGGCGTTGATTCAAAGCTTGTAATTTCAAATGACAAAGCCATGCCAAAGACAGTTTTTCTAATCAACCTTTTATACTGTAAAATGGGTTATATTTTATTTTGGCAGTGCCAATATCGTTTGAGACACCAGCATAAATCCAGTATCCAATGCAGAAAACAATATGAACAATAATAAACCAAAATCTTGCCAGTACCACACCCCACTCCCCTTTGCAAAAGAAAATATTTTTACTAAATAAATTTTAATATTTCAAGGGAAAGTCTCTAAACCAGTTGAAGAAAGAGCTTCAGAAACCTGATTACTAAAAACAGAGACATGCTTGTATTTCTTATGGTTTCAAACATGTAGAATGAAATTCAACTTCAGAGAGAGGCACAGTGCCAGCAAATTATACACTTTTATTAGAAGGGTGGGAAGGAAGGCAGGGCTGGTGCACAAAAGAACAGGGTGCAGCACTCAAAGGGAAAACCCAGTACTCCTCCTGCATTGACTCAAATCCCAGAATCCAAGAATATGCTGGGCTGGATGGGACCCACAAGGATCATCCAGTCCAACCCCTGGCCCTGCACAGCCCCATCCCCAAGAGTCACCCCCTGTGCCCCAGAGCATCATCCAAACCCTCCTGCAGCTCTGGCAGCCTTGGGGCTGTGCCCACTGCCCTGGGGAGCCTGTTCAGTGCCAACCACCCTCTGGGGGAAGAACCTTTCCCTGAGATCCACCCTGAGCCTGCCCTAACACAGCTCCAGCCATTCCCTGGGGGCTGTCCCTGGTCCCCCCAGAGCAGAGCTCAGTCCTGCCCCTCCTCTGCCCCTGCCCAGGCAGTTGGAACTGCAAATGTTATCGTTCCCAGGAACAGCACTGCTTGAAAATCCCACACCGGTGCGATCCAGGCATTTTCAGTCAGGTTACCACCAAACTCTTCGCTGCCTGTTTCCTGCCAGCCCTGCTCTCACTCTCGGAGTGTTCCCCACGCTGCTGTTCTGCCAGCACAGCCTCGCTCCCTCTAGTGGGAGATGAGCGGCTCCGATTCCCGTCCAGGGCACGAGTGCTGCAGCTACACCACCCGCACTGCCCAGAGTGCACATCTTTTTCTGAAGAGAACCTCCAGTGCGCTCTGACCACTGGAAAGGTGGGGCTTGGACCCTGTTGTTCGCTTTTACTTCCTCAAGTTTCCAGTGGCCAAAAAAGAATTGCCGTGAAAGCAAATTCTGTGGCAGCAATGCATGTAATTCCAGCCCACTTGCACTTCCAGCAGCTTTGGTTCTCAGCTCAGCAGCAAGTTTTGCCTGCCATTAATTATCTGATTCTTCCTTTGCATACACCAGTTACATACAAAGCCCAGGTAGTATTAAAATCCCGTCTCTTTTCCTGCCAAATAACTTGATTACTCTATTTCATTTCAATACTTGCTTGACAAATCCAGCTCTGGAAACACTAAGGCCTGGTCTAATGTTTACAAGAATTCACTTCAGCAAATCTTACTACACAATCACACGATGAAATGAAGAAATAAAACTCAGCCATGAATCTGGATTTTTTTTAGTGCTTTATATATAAAATCTGTATAGCTAACGGGACTGTAGAACACTGCCAAGGGGGAAACACAACAGGAAGAACAGGTCAATACAAAACTTGCATTTTTCTGTATATATTAGCCTCTAATATAATTATTACCTGTTAATGTATATATCCAAGGAAGTTGGCTAAAAAAAACCAGCATCAGTTTGCTGAAGTTACTTTCAACTGATAGATATTTTAGCCTTTCTAACTGATTAAAGTTACAACCCAATCCTAAAGCATGAGATGCCTTAAGCAAAGGACAGTCACTCCAATTTAAAGCAAATTAAGGTACTCAGTAGTTCACAAACTGTTATTCTAAGAGCAACACATCACAACTTGATCTGAAATTATTTGATAATTTTTAGATTATTGTAATATAGACAGATGAGTAAATATTCCACGGCAGAGGAACTGACTGGCAATTACCTTATTTGAAAGAACATTACCAGAACAAAATTGTTAAGTAGCACATTTCTAAGAAAGTGACATTTTACAAAAAAGACAAAGGCACATATTTTCCACCAAAATCTAGAGCTGCTGTCATCAACAACCCAACAAAAGCTACAGCTACCTAAAATGGAAATGAAAATGTAATGTATGGAAATATTCTCTTATAAAATCTCCTTAGGCTTCACATGTATTAATGTATTAGTTTGCAAACATTAAGATCAAAGGCAAAGCAACAAATACATCCTAAAAAGTTTTTAGTCAGATTTTTATTAACGATATACAAGTAGCAAGGCATAAAAAATTAATATGTTCAAGCCTTGAAATGTCAAGTGTAATGATCTCTAGCTCTGCTTACCTCCTTTGCTTTTTGTTTCAGTCTAGCTTGCTCTGGGTCTTCTTGCCTTGAGCGACTCTACATGTTTAAAAAAAAAATGGGGAAAAAAGGTTAACAGATGGTTTAAGAACCCCTCATCTGTTGCAGTAAGTTAAAAAATAGCAAAGAAATAGGAACAGGATACAAAGTCTCAAACATGGGACACTTAAATTGATAGAAAAGCAATTTTGAACCCATAAACCTCATCCAAAAGGCTGGTAAATGTTCAGTTGTAAATAAGATCTACCCCAGATTTAAATTTAAATTTAAAATAAACCAACCCAAAGCCCTCCCAAAACCCCATGTTTTTGTCAATGCTAAAGTTTCCATACAGGTTTAGATTTCAATTATCCCATACAAACAAATTCGAGCATCCAAGAGTGGAAGTGACACCATTTCCACTATCCGACCTTTTTTATTTAAGTCCTTACAGTCACTTATTTTAAAACTTACTGTTTGCAACTCAACTTTTCAATAGAGAACGTGGAGAAAACAGCTGTAAAGTCACCCTCCCAAAAGGTAAATGTTCATAATAAAGGTGCTACTACCCCTCTGAGCTCACTGGGAGTGCAGCCCAGGAACACACACACACCTTAAACCCATTCAGGCACTACTGATATTAATGTTGGCACTTCCAAAACTGGATAAATGTTGCTCAATGGTAGCCTCTGTATTTTCCTTCAAAACCAGGAACAGCAACTCTAAAAGCCCATTCAGAATAATTGTTTAATTGCAAAAACAACCCAGAGCAGTGCATTTCTTTAGATACAGACTGTTTTACAAGCAGATGTTAAAACTATTCAATCCTTACTTGTGCTCACTGAGCATTCGAAATGATGGCATTCAAAACTCAAGAGGCAGATAATACAGGCATTATACTTTTATAATTGCCTGATAGGTCAGCGTTCAGCAAAGGCTGCAGAAAAAGTTGCAAGAAGCTGCAACAGAACTTGTGACATCCACGGAAAACTGTTCCTGATACCTGAGAGATGCAGGAGTTTTATTTCAGTACTTCTTCGAGATTTAAGGTGATACCATTGACACAACTCCTAAAGGAATAAGAATATCTATGCCCTCTCCTATCTGTTTTCCTCTGATTATTGCTGTGCTGAAGACAGACATGAAACCTGGAAGAATATGAGTCTGCAAGCTTACATATGCTCAGATTTTTTCCCAGTGTTTGAATTTCTCATACCATATTCTGCTCAGAATTTAAAAAAACATTAAGAAAACCAAAGGGAAATCAGTCGAAGAGCCTACCCTTAAAAAAGTCACATAGTATTCTTGATATACCTGGAGAGTGCCCTGGCTATGATCTGGCAGACAGGGCAACAATGACACCGAATTCTCTATCCTTTTTCCTGTTAGTTTTTGTTGGTTTGTGTTGTTTTGGTTTGTGTTTTTTAGCTGGGATTGTTTTTTCTCAGCTAATGTAGCACACATATAAAACACAGTGATGATAAAGAATGGTCAAATTAAACAATAATGAGGTTTTTAGACGATGTGCTTAACACTCTCCCACTGTGCACACCAGCTCCACCTTCCAACACCACCTACACCAACCAACACCTTCCAAAATCAGCACCTTTTGTGCCTGTTGCCACAACAGGTTGTTTGACAGGGGAGTGTCTGCAGTAAAGCAAGGACAAATTAAAACCTGAGAGAGCCAATGACCAAGTCAGACTCTCGTGCTGTAGTTGTGCCAACCAAGAAACTCCTCCTTAACACAGACTGAGATTCCTTCTAATGCTGTGGCCAAATAAAAATGTAAATAATCTGACCTAGCTGATGTTCAAGGGACAAAAAGGTATTTCATGACATGTGTGGATGTGCCAGAGAGCTGGGGCTCTATTCAGCACAGCAATTACTAAAAACTTGATTAGGTTAAAAACCAAACGAACCAACCCCCACTGGGTGAGAGTTGCTTTTCCAGTAGATGGGCTCAGGTAGGTATTTATGAACTGAGCTGAACTAGTCCTTGCTCTGTGGTTCTGCCCTGACAGTTCAATCACTGTGAGCCTCAGTTTCTCCAGTAGGATGTGTGGAAAAAGCACATTTAGCCCTTTCATGGGTTTTGATGATAAATTTATAACTGTACAATGAACTTCTATTGCCTTCTGAGTCTCAGAGTGAAGGCAGTACAGAAACACAAAGTGTTTTACACCACTGTATGAAGCTGAAACATTTGCCAAATGCAAAGCACAAGTTAAAAGCACATCAGCTTAAGGAGAAAGCAGAGTGTCCTGGGAGAGTGCAGCTGAGCCTTCTACATTGTTACCAACTCTCTATGAGGAAGTGACAGAACCCTGGAAAACACACCAGATCTGCATTGTGTTTGGGGACATTGTAAGAAAAATTAAAGCAAGAGACGCAAAGTAACACTGCAATTTCCTAGACTCTCTCAGTGAAGGAAAACTCTGGAAGTGCTACAGAGTAAAAAAGTAACACATTTAGGAGTTGAGGCTTCCCCCCCCCCCCGCCAAAAGCAGATGATCTGCTCTGTGTAAACCTTCAGCTTGGTCACACAAAATAAATGATGAAAATTACTGCAGAGGTGAAAACAGATACGTAGCTCCTGAATGATACTATATACAGGATTTTATTTCAATAATGACAATCTAAAATACCAGGTGAAGTTACATATATAAACCCAGACCAAAGGTGAAGGTAGAACTATTTTTACACTTAGAATAATGCAATGAGTTTCTAGCCTTTCCAAAGAGCTCAGGCTAGCTCTCATTTCAAACAAGCAGAATTCCAACTTTACATTGCATGTATCATTGCTACTAAAAAACTTGAAGAATTAAACTGTAATTATTTCCTGGGTTTTTTTGTGTTCAGATAAATTTTAATAGTTCTTAAAGAAACAGATTTTTAAAACTAAGTTACGTTCCTGCTGCCTACCATGCCAGTAACCTTCAGAAATAAATCAGTATATAGAGGCTAACATGTGTTACAGGGCAAGTATAAACATCAACTATTTCATTAATTCTCCACTTTACCATCTAATGTAAATTATGAAATGCTTCTTCAGTGCTGATGCAACACAGATTAAAGCAAATGAAAATGTCAAGCTTAACAGAGGTGCCTAGATAAGCTTTAAAAATGTCACTGGATTCCCTTTACACTCCATTCCACACGTGAACATCTCTCCCTTCCTCTGAAGAGTCTGCCCAATGCTGCTGCTGCTCAGCTCCTGCAGTGCTCGTCTGCATGGCACCATTTTTCCTAAGCAATTGTTTTAGTATTTTACACTTATTTCTGTCAAGCTACTGATTAATCATTCCTAGGGTTTTTGTTTTTAATGGCAGTTTAACTTTTTCTTCAAAGTCATTCATATTTTGGGGTTTCTCTTCCTTTCTCCTTTCCCCTCTAACATCCAAATCTCAATATGCAGCATCTCACCTGCTCTGTGAAACATGCTTTTCCAAAATCTTTTAATGCACCAGTGTCTCCTTCCTCCAAAGCTTTGGAAACACCCCCCATCACAGAACCCATCAAATCAAATCATTTCAAGGAGTTTATCACAACTCCTTTGCCTTGCCCTCCCTGTTCATCATGCCTAGATCTGTAAATAAAGCAAGCTGCATTTAGGTAATGTATTTTCCTGTTGATGAATAAACACCCTTAGAAGCAATCTGGCTTCCCATAGTAATTTTAGAGAAACCTAGGACTGATCCTAACCAGATAACATACTTTTTAAATACATTAAATGCTGTCTCCTACTGAGAACTTATTCACCAAACCAGGTTTGTTAACATTTCTCCCAAACACTAAGTTAATTTTATTAGACCAGACAGCCTGATATTTTAATTGTGAAGAATGAAAGTGCTTTGTGTTGGAGAACTTGCTATCCTATTTATCTGAAACCTGCATAGATCACATTAGGTCTATGGAAATCCTGGACTTTCAAAGTATGAAAAGCAGCATATTTTAATGTGTGTATTCAAAGCACAAGAGGAATAAGGGGGTTGGTTTACATGTTACCAAACTCCCTAATGTTCCAAACCTCAGCTTTTCCCCTGGCTTGTGCTAAGGAAGGAGGCCACACAAACAGACAATTACACATGTAACAGTGTCATATTAAGGGGATTTTGGATTTCACAGAATTGCCTTAAATTAGAAAGCAGTGGTATTTTTAAAATAATAAGTCATACAAGCACCAATTACTTTTAAAATTGGAGGATACTCTCTATGTATGCAGATGGACAGACTAACAGTACTTTGATGTATGTAATTATCAAAATTACTCAAGATTGATACCAAAGTTGAACTGTTGTTAAATTTTTGTCCCACTAACAAAAAAACCCAAAGGTTTCTATTAGATTTGTTAGAATTTTGAATTCTCAGCTTGTGCCACCCATGTTAGGAAATGTCTCCCAGGGTGTCTCCTGCATTTAGCTACACCTGATCCCAGTTAAGGCACTTGCAGCTCTACTGCCCCTTCCCAACACTTACACTGGAGTCTTTAAAGCTTCAACTTCATCTTTTTTCATTAAATAAAGTCAGGAGTCACAACTGCAGGTGCTGTGCTATTGAGAGCCACTGCTGTGCCAACAGTTTCAATTTGAAACCTATTTTTTTCCCCATTGATGACATTAGAACTTCACCCACGGCTGTACCAGCTTATAACTTTCACTTCTAATTAAAGAAATTAAATCGGCAACATGAAACACTTTGCTTTCACATTAGCTTTGTTAATAAAAAGTGGAAGTTAAAAGCATCATAGCTGAGGGTGAAACGCTCCTCGATGTTCCGGCCGCGCTGAGCTGGAACGCAGGAGCTCAGGTGGGAGAAATGATTTATACTGAAATCATTAAAACTGCAGTAACAAATTCCTGAAAATTCAGAAAATTATCTCAACGTGATGATTTCCCCCCTTTGCTCTCCTCTCATCAGAAGGGAGCTCCAAGTCCATCTCACAGAAGGCTGCTCTCAGCAGAGAGGGGAAGGATTAAATTGCCATGACAGCTGAACTCATCTCTGCCTCACAGAGCGGCCCCTTCGAGCCCTCCCAGGGCGTGTGCAAGGGAATCTACATCGCCAAATTCCAGTGAGCTCTCCAATAAAAAAGCCCTTCAGCCCACAGTACTATAAAAATCACTATCATCCATAAATGCTAATTAACTTTGCAAACAACTCTGAACATAATTTTCCATTTACTTATGTAAATTTTCTTTTTATAGAACAGATCTTATTCTTGTGATAGTCGTATTTAAGATCCAAAAACTTGACAGGCTTGTGCTACTAACACAGAATACTCAAAATAACAGACTAACAGACTGCATATATTGGAAATTAAATTCCAAAATTAATTTTATAATAAAATACACATGCATTCAGCCAGTTTGAACGGATGAATTAACACAATAATTTTAACATCATCCACTTTATTATAGATTATAACACACAAGTATGATTCATTCATGTTCTGAAAACCAGGACAACCCCCAGCTGTGTATCTTCACTGCATAAAGCACCACACTCTAAAAAAAAAAATAAATAATCAGAAATAAAAAACACCAACAACAAATCAGCTACAACCTCCTGCTCCTCCTGCTGCCAGAAACATTTCCGTTACTAGACCAGAACCAGAACTTCCTTCAGTTTGACAGACAGCACCTGCACTTCCCAGGTTTTGGAACCAGCTCTGAAAGCAGCAAGAACACAGAGTTACTGTGTGAGACCTGTGCTTTGCTGGGCTTGGTTTTTTTTTAGAAAGTCCACACAACGCACACCATGTCAAATGTAAATTCCTCAGGTGATTTTAGCCTGGCTTTTGACCTTTCTGCAGCTCTTTCCTCGGCTCTCCCTGCTCTTTGCCGTCCCAGTCAGCACAGACCGAAGCAGGAGATGTCTGGCCCTGCACACTCCTGGGAGCAACAGCCGGTGGGGCCTGACTGGGAAAACAAACAAGGGCCAGGAGTTGACTCTCCCAAATATTTCCCTGTGCTCAGATATGAGGTGGCCTCTCTGGTGCCTCTTGCACCACCACGTGGGCTAGGCTGGTGTGGGGACATTGGGGGATGCTGTGGGACACGATGCAGGACCCCTGAGGTGCAAGAGATCGTTCCAGCTCCTAAAACAGCAGACTTGTGGGTTCAGTGTTTAGGACTTTAATTTAAAAGAAATTATATGCTGCATTGCTGCTGTAGCATAATACGTTTTTGCCTTTCCTGTCAAATTTATCTTCCCCCAAAAGCTCTCACTGGCCTGAGAACATCAGTTGTTACGTTTCCAGGCTTGTGAGATGAAGTTCCTATTTCTCAACTACTTCCCAGGCATGGGACATTATATAATATTCTCTCATTTAACAAGCTAAATAATACTGCTATTTTGTTACCTGTGAGCTTCACAACTAATTTGAACTTAGATAGTGATTTTTCTCAGAATGTCAAAAATTGTATTTTTTGAAACCTAACTTTTTTTTTTCTTCCATCTCCCCATCTGATTTGTTCTCTCATTCTCCCAAAAACAGTTCCTGAAGCAAACCCAGACCCATCTGGGTGCTTACAAACTCTGCAAACACATCCCACTGTAACAACTGGAATTGTTGTTGCAGATCAACCACAACACTCATGTCAAATATTTTCTTTTCTCCTCCTAATGAGACCAACCCACCACCCAAAACAACAAAGACCTGCAAACCTGACACTTTCCTTGACCATCATTTGCATTTTTTTTACCCCTTACTGAACCCTAATGCAAAATCACCTAATTGGCTTCAAGGCTTCCCCAAGACTCACTCTGCCTCCCCTTTGATTTCAATCTATTCCTTCATTTTCCATTATCTTCTCCATTGATTATTCTGTGATTAGGTTGATTATTTAATACCATCCACTCCATTGCCCGAAACATTTCCTTCACTCTCTCTTTGTCAAACCCTGGACTTTGGCTGTTAACAGGGCTCTAAACTGTAAATAATTAAAAAAGAATTTTCACTGTGCACATACAACCTGTTTATGCTCTTCCACACGAGGCAGCAGATGAGGTACCACTGGCAGGAAGTTTTGAAATTTTCATTAAAATTATTCTGCTGAGTAACTTTAAAAACATGTTGCAAAATAATATGTCAAAACACAAGAAAAAAGATCACTCTGTTTGTCTAAAAGGCCCATTAAGAATCTGTAGTTAAAAATAAAAATAAAGAATGATTTTTAGATTTAAGCATCTGTAGTAAAAAACCAACCAAACAAACAGCAATTTCATTTTAAAACCCAAAGTTTTCTATCCTTTAAAGACAACACTGTCAGGGTGACAAAGGTGCCGTGTTTGGGGAAACAACCCATTTGCACGTGGATATTTCAGTCCCCAGAGTCAGTGCCACCAATACCCCCTTTGCAGACACAATCACTGTTTATCAGGGCAGATTTCAACTGTGCCACTACAATTACTGCATCCTCTCCACGAGGACTGAGAGATCCTTAGGCAAGTTCCTAAAGGACCATAAAAAAACCCCAAATCCACGGGAAGGAATTAGTATGTAGGAATTCAGAATAAAGACTTCAACAGATATCACTGTCCATGGACAGACACTTTTGCATTTCAGCAGCACCACAGATCCTAAGGAAATAATGAACAATCTGTTCTTTAGGTTAAAAAAACATAATCTGACCATATTTTTACCAAACTATGTCCTCTGTAAGTCTTGCAATAGGTTATCAATCCACTGGAACAGAATGGGGAGCACCACTGAACACTCCACAAAGTTCAGTTCCAAACTGGTATTTCCCCTTTAATCACAACATCTTCAACTTCTCTCCCTAAACATTAACACTGATAAATCAGCACTGCTCTTCCATGGCTACTCTGTGGTTTGGGTTTGGTTTTTCAATACCTTCACGTATTTTTCTAGAATAGCCCTGTGTTATATCAAGCTGTCTCCTACGACTCCCTGGTTATGAAGTTGATTTGTGCATTCATTATTTTCATTAAGGCGATTTTTTCTAATCAATTAGAGGACTCTTTTACATTTGTGTGCTGCAGAATGCTTCAATTTGCTCTTTCTGTAATCTGTAGGAATCAAACTTGATGATCATGTATTTATTTCCTAGATTTTGACTTCAGAGGAGTTTATATTATTCAAGACTAAAACAACAACAACAACAAAAACCCAAACTACAGAATATCAATTCATGAAGGAATTCAGGTTGGAAGGAACAAGGAGAGCTCATCTAACCCAATCTCAGATCAGCCTGCTTCGTGCACTCAGGGAAATATTTCTGAACTAAGGACTATAAGCTACTGCATTTTTCTCCATGTCCACTAAAAAAAGCAACCAAAACAAACAACAAGCAGCAGGATCCACAGAAAACACAATCCATCGAGGTGTATTCACTGAATGGAGCAAACAGGATAAAAAATAGGCATTTCTTTATTTCTAATAAATAAGAATTGAGAGTGAAAACAAATCTATTTTCATCAAGACATTTAAAGAGTATCTAATGTTATGGGAAAACCTGTGGAATATTTTACAGTGTGAGCAATTATAAATTAAGAGTGCAAAGTGGACAAATTACAGTACCCTAATTGAGAAATGGATTTCTGAAACAAGCAAGGCTAGGTTTTAAAAAAAATAAATCTCTCATTTTGTGAACATTATTGGCACAAAATCAGGAAGCTGTGTTACAACTGAACATTCAGTTGTTCTGTATAATCTTTTCAGCATGCAAAATAAATAACTCAATGAAAATTCAAATAAAATTAGAAATGGGATAACTAAGGGATAAACTATTTGCAGGTTGATGTGATATATATATATATAATTTAATTTAAAGTTACAAGCAGGAGATTTATCTATACCTATGTGCTCTTGAAACAATATTATCTGAGTTTGTTCTATTGCATGGATGAAAATTGAGTCTCTGGAAATGAAGTTACAAAGGAGCCAGTCCAGAAGAACTGACAGTTCACCGAAGACAGGCACGAATCAATCATATAATGCAGGTACAGAGAGGTGACTGGAGCACAAATTAAGACAAACAAATGAAAAAAACTGTTTAAAAACAAGGACTAGAAAATTAAGAAGTAAAAAGCCTCAAAAAAATCCCAAAGAATTGACTGAATTGTGTTAAATACCAGAAGTGTAGGGTATGAATTTCAAGTGGCACACAAACCCTGGCATCTATTAAATTTCAAAGGCAATTGTACAAATTATTTCGCAGAGTTACTTTGAGAATCTTAGCCATTGTCTCCTGTATTCCCAAGAACTCCTCAAATCCAGAGCTGCATCCTGAAAACACAGAAGCATTCCAGTCAGGTGGGTCTGGAGTCACCACAGAGCAGAGCTTGGCTGAAGGAGTTAAAGGTGTGAGGGCTCAACATTATTTTTGTCGTGAGAAACAAAATGTGTTTATGAAACAGATCTCACCAAATCAAGTAATTGTTTAAAGACTATGAACAGGTTAAGTAGTTAAAAAAAGGAGAGTGAAACTGATACCTTGGCAGCCTTTAACAAGATTTCCCTCTCTTGTTCGTCTTTCCTTTGCTTTTCCAAACGCTCCAGCTGTTCAAAGAACTTCAGCTGTGCTCGGACATCTGTAGCTTGTTCGTACCACTCGTCATCCTGCAAAACAGGGACAGTGTTCTAGAAAAACAGGCTTTTTTATCCAGACTATGCATTCCAAGACTGAAGGTGTTCTACATTAAAATCTTTTCATTGCATGAACAATAAAAAGAACATTTCTGGTTTTTAAGCTCAGGGAATGAAGCCAGCCTATGGTTAGTAATGCAGATTATTTTATTAATATCTAAGCAAATCAAAAACCAAAGACTGATTTATCAGCACCAGAGACATCAGTTTACTGACAGACTTACTGATGAAAAACCTCTAAGATGTTTAAGTTTATTACTGAATAATCCTGGATACAGTTTATAACCAGGCTTATAACCTAAAATTCTTGTATCTGTACTCACCTTGAACTAGTAACAGACTTTATCAAGATGCAGTATTATGAGGGCATTAAAGCTAAAAATTCAATTGAAAATAAGCCTCTAATGACAATTAAAACTGAAGTTTATTACAACTAAGAGCATGTAAGCTTTCCTAGTACACAACAACCAGAAGAGTTTGTGACATGAGCCACGTGGGAACACTTAGAATGTCAGTCAGAAAAATAAGTGATCCACATTACTCCCATCCCATTTATCTACTTAGTGTTTTCCTTTTTGACTGCAATGCTATGAAATCAAAGAAGACCATTAACCAAGAAAAATGCCAAATACAATGACAATGCTACAATTTCATCAGAGACAACACTCATCTTTTCCTAAGAATGCGTTAAAATATTATTTTAAAAGCATCTTTGGCTTAAGGTAGACTAAGTGAATTGTTTTCTCCTCAGAAACCATCCTAGAGAGAAGAAAGGAGGGATTTAACTCTGCTGATGCTGACAAAGAATACTGGAAAGAAACAAGGAGATTTGGCTTTTAGTCCAATACAGTAGAATATATCCACTGATTGCAATGAAAGATTCAAGTGCAGGTAATGATCAGGAATAGTGGCCTTCATTTTTGTAATCCCTTTTCCTATCACAACAACGTTGGTGTAGTCAGAGATGCCAAAGGGGATCATTTCTGCAAATATCCCATGGAATTAGTCCGACTGTGACTCAGCTTTGGGAAACAGGTGGGTAAAGATGCAGTCCAAAGATGTTTGACCAGACTTCCAGTCCAGGAAAACAAAACAGTTCACCACAAAACCAAGAAAAAAACTAAACCAGAGCCACTCAATGTATACATACACTAAAGAAATCTAAACACAGCTTAGACAACACACAACCGGTTATTGCCATCTTGCTTTTACACCAGTTTAATAACTATTAGCATCTTACCTCTAGTTGAAAGAGGTATTTCAAATATATCAATAAAGATGTTTGATTCATTTGAATTTCAACCTGGTTTGCAGATTCTTATTTAAATTTCCCCCACGGTTTAAGATATCAAAATCGTTTCAGTTTTCTTCATGAATACAGCCACCAACAAAAGACTCATTTTACCTTTAAATGCTCTTTTTAAAGAGCAAATCATGTTTAATTACAGTGAAGAATTTAGAGCTGAGTTCTTTAGTTGCTCATTTAGGACACATTGGTAGCTTTTGGAAAATACCAATATTTCTCACAGCCAAGGACACGTAAAGTTATGACAGATTCTGAAACACCAAAGCAATTTTGATCCAATTAACAGACACCTTGGTCAAAAAAGGAGCTATCAAGAATCAGCAGCCCGTGAGCAGAAACAGCTCAGCAGATGCTCCACGTCAGACACTTTAGCACAGTAAGACAAAACAATTCACACCCAAATTCTGTGGCAGAGGAGGGAGACGGAGCTGACAACAGATCTACCCTCCCAGCTCTCTGTTTGCTGAGGGGCTCAAACCTGCAGCAGAGACAAGCTCTGCACCCAGAACAAACCAAAACATCCCCGTGTGCTGAGAAAAAGCGGCACCACGTGCCTCCAAAATACAACACCTCTGATTGTGCACTTACTTTGTATGATTCCATCCGGTGCTGGGTGATCACTGTCACCTTTTCTATCACTGTCCTCAATCTGCTCTGTGTCGCATGGGAAATAAAAGTAACGACCTCAGCTGGCACATCAGTAATTCCTAGTTTTTTAGCTAAAGCAAAGAAAACAAAACAAAACAGAATTAGCTTAACCCCCCACAAAAGAAACCCCAAAGTTCTAAAGGGCTTTAAGTCATAACTTTGCTTTCTTGAACAGAAAAATCCACGACCGTGTATTTATGTGGCTTTGGTGACATGTTCATGAGCCCTTGAAAAGGATGTGACTGTACTTTAAAAGTTTGAAGGAGAAATCAGAGAATTTTTTTAACACTTGAAAGCATTTAAGAACTTTGCTGAAGTTTATCCTAATATATTACAAGAAAGCATAACAGAATATGAGAAAGTTTGAGTTCTCAGTTGCTCTACACGAGAAAAAGCAATTTCTTTGTTTTCAGAAGCATTACTGCAAATGAATTTCAGTTTCCATGAGGTGAAGCTGCAGCCCAAAGCACACTGTTCCATCCTTTAGCCTACACTACTGGTATAGTACTGACAACAGAAATTCTTTAGGGGAAAAAAATCCCTATTAATTGAATATGAAGAAGTAAAGTCATATTACAAAGTTATTTAGAAACACCAGTTGTCCCCCAAACACATATTCATAGTTACTTGGACATTTGATACTTCATGCTGAGTTTATAAGAAAAGCAAACAGTCTGCTGTCTAATGTATTGATATACTTAAAAAGCACCTAAGCTGCAGAAAGAATAATATAGGTAACACTTAAGGATTCCTAAATTCATCAAAATATTTACTAAGTATTAGATCTAAAATTGTAGATACATGAATATACACACCAACCTAAGCTACAGTCCTACCAAGGCAAACATATGAGTTGTCCCAGCAGGACAGTTCTCTGTGTAGAAAACTCCCTGTGTAAACACACAGATATATATATATTTCATACAGGAAAATATCAGTAGCTGCATTTTGTGTGGATTCTTAGAGATAACCCACCCATAAGAGAATAAATAAGCTGATTATACCAACTCAGTTCTCCACTGAGTGAGCACAAAACTTCTCAGAGAGCTTTGGCTGGGACACATAACGGGTATGCAAACCCCCACAGGACGTTTGTTTGAGACTGTTTTGGATAGTGTGACTTTCAGGAGGAATCCTCCTCTGTGCAGGGGCCCCCAAGCTTGTTTGCTTGGCGAGGAGTTCCTACCTCTGCCCGGCCAAACTCCGCGGCAAGGAACCATCACACGCCTAAAAATAAGGTGGGGGAAGTGAGCGCCGGTGTGTTCACCTCAGGATGTGTGTGGTGTGAGCAGTGTGTTCACCTCAGGATGTGTGTGGTGTGAGCAGTGTGTTCACCTCAGGATGTGTGTGGTGTGAGCAGTGTGTTCACCTCAGGATGTGTGTGGTGTGAGCAGTGTGTTCACCTCAGGATTTGTGTGGTGTGAGCGGTGTGTTACCCTCACCCCGTGTGTGCTGTGAGCGGTGTGTTCCCCTCACCCCGTGTGCTGTGAGTGGTGTGTTCACCTCAGGATTTGTGTGTTGTGAGCGGTGTGTTCACCTCACCCCATATGTTGTGAGCGGTGTGTTACCCTCACCCCGTGTGTGCTGTGAGTGGTGTGTTCACCTCAGGATTTGTGTGTTGTGAGCGGTGTGTTCCCCTCACCCCGTGTGCTGTGAGGGTGTGTTCCCCGGCCGGCTGCTCAGTTCCATCCCCGTGTGTGATGTGAGCCGAGCTGGCAGCGCTCGGCAGCACCGCCGGCTCCTGTCAGCACCCGCTCCATCACCGGGAGTGGTCCCTTCCTGCGTCTCCATCACTGGGATCAGCCCCTTCCCTTGGCTCCCGCCCCGCCAGGAGCGGCCCTTGGCCACAGCACATCACCGGACCGTCCCTTTCCTGCAGCACATCACTGGACCGGCCCCTGCCCGCGGTTCCATCACCGGACCGGCCCATCCCTGTGGCTCCTGCCGAGCCCCTTTCAGTGCTGCCGTACCACGGCTCCGCTGCCGTGCCTCTCCCACGGCACAATTCTCCCATGGCACAATTCTCCCATGGCACAATTCTCCTCGTTTTCTCAATGATCCTTTGAAGTCGTTACCTCTTCAACCGAGTTAAGCCATCACCGGCTCCATATAGCGCACGGTACCTTAAGGACTGCAGCACGACGTACATATGCACGCTTTTTAACTGATTTTCGCCTTATCGTGGAAAAAAAACTAAATTAAACCTTTCTTGGTGCCCAATTTGTGGTGTGTAATAGAGCTGGAATCCCGCTCAGGCTGCTGAAAGCTGAACATGTAATGGAAAGCAGACACACACATTAAATCCCAACGCTGCAAGTGCCACCCAGGCAAGCGAAGCCCTTGAAGTCAGGAGGACGATTCCTATGGGCAGGAGAGATTCCTCCGAGTCAGACTGGCACTATCAAGGCCTATTTGAGCATGCACCATTTTATTATGCAAACATGTGTAAGCAAAGCCATCAATCAAAAAACCCTAGTCCAAAGGATAAAATGCAAGAAAGAAGGGAAATTTAATTAACTGGTATCCAGAAATGAGGTTTGAGATGGAAAATTCTGCCAAGTATTCTAGGTAAGCGTATGAGTGAGTAATTGTTAAAATTCTTTGAATTTCCGTGGTGTAGCTACAGCTACCCAACTTCCCTGAAAACACACACACTCCTTTCCTAATGAAAAACTATCACCATCTCAGTTTTTTCACATTAAAGGTTTTCCTAATTTTAAAGACTTTTACTCTAAGTAAATTCAACCACTAGACAGCTTGTCTTGTCCATTAACTCTTCAGAAATTCACCCATAACCAACAGAGCATTCTGAGATTCCTGGTTCCTTCAGACTCTTGTCCTTTGTCCTCTTCATCAGTAACTCTCTTCTCCTGAAGTCCCTCAACACAGTATTCTCAAGTCCAGAAAAGTACCTGGAGGCCATGGAGTCCCTCAGGAATCTGTCCTGGGACTTGGCCTTTTTAACAGCTGTCTCAGTGACCTCAGGGGTGAGACACAGAGCATCCTCACCACAGATGGCACCACACTGAGGTGCAGAGGGAAAGGAACCTCATGAAATTCATGAGGGATGAGCACAGAGCACCTGGGATGGACTCACTCTCTGGAACAACACCAGCTGGGGAATGCCTGCCTAGCAGGGCAGCAGCACCGATGGGAAGCAGGAAGAGCCTGGAGGCTGTCCAGGATCCAGCAGTGCACCCTGGCAATGATGAACATGAGCAGCACAGTGGGCTGTGTCCACAGCAGAATGGTGGATCAACAGGAACCAATGCTTCAAGGGGAGTAATTAATCCTCCTCACCCAGCCCACGTCCAGAATACTGGGATTTTGGGTCACCTGGTACAAGAAAAACTTGAAAAAAAATTGAGTCAAAGGAATAGCCAGCAAGATGGTTATGGAGTTGGAGCATATGACCTGTAAGAGGAGAACCTGAAGGTTCATCCTGGAGGAAGAAGGCTTAGTGGGGAGTTTATTGCAAAGGTGGAGTCAGACTCTTTACTGAGGCTGCCTGGAAGAAGAATGAGAAATAAATTCATAAACTGAAACAGCTGTTTCTGACTGGATATAGGGAAGAATTCTTTTATGAAGACAAATTGGAACACTTTGTACAAAATAGTTGTAGACTCTCCTACCTCCCAGGATTTTAAAACTCAGCCAGATAATGCCCTAAACAACCTTGTCTGAATTTAATGTTGACCCAGGTTTGAGCAAGAGACTGGACCAAATGACCACTCAAGTTATCTTCCAATCTGAGTGATTCAACGATCCCTGTCCTGCATGAGTCCTTCTGTATTCCCTATCACAGCACAATGCCCTGAGATCCCTCACACACATAGGATCAGCCCCTGGCACATCTCCTGGTCCGTGTTTGCCCAGTTTGCTGGCTGGGCACCCTGAGGACAGCCTGGCCAGCCTGTCCCACAGTGCTCACTGGCAGCCAACCAGGCAAAGAGCAAAGAAAGGGAAAAAAAGCCACTGATTTCCCCCTCGACTCAGACACACAGAGGGGCTCTCCAGCTCCTGATTTACCAATGGACACAAAAGTGACCTGAAGGGGAAGAAGAAAAGCAAATGGACTATTCAATTACTTAAGGCTAGAATTCTTTGGAAAACAGGATAAGGGAAAAAGAATATCAATTTTCCCCCAGATGAATTAGCATCAAGAAAGCAGACTACAAAAAGATAAATTTTTAAGAAGTCAACTTGTCATGCACACCATTCATCATGTGTGGAAGCATCATCACGTCTTCCCTGCTCTAAATTACACTGGTTAAAGCCCTGTTAGCATAGGATGTGAGAAGCAGGGTGCATTCCAGAGCTCTATACTACATGGAGATTTGGCATGCTGCTGAAATACTTGGATTGTACTTGGGGCAAGGGTGGGAAAACTACCAATTTCATCTACACTTGGAAATTGTGGCCCAATTATAGTTTCCTACACAGCTGTTCACACCACTGGATTGATCCACTGGTCTAAGAGGGGTTGTGATGCCACTGCTTAGAGATTGTCTTGTTCTGCTTTCTGCTACTCAGAAAAAATGCCAGATAGAAACTGAACCAACACAAAGGGCTGAAAATGTTAATTTTCGTATGTTTCTGTATTAAATGCTCAGTATTATTTTTCTTTGCTGTCACATCTCCTGAGTTTCATCCACTGTCATTTATAAAAAGCATATTGGAATTCCATCAAAGGAAAATAATGCTGATCTCTAAAATAGGAATTTCCTGACATATTCTTCTACTCTGTATAATTACTTTTCCCAGTTTTAACAGGGTAAGGCTTCTCTTCCCCTTTCAAGATTCCCTAAAGTGATAATGATCTGGGAACAGAAATATGATCTATATTTTTAAGAAATGTGTATATACACATATACATTCTATAATACTAAACACAGTTCATTGTGCTGCAAAACACAGATATCCTCACTATTATTCATCTTTCTAACCAAGTGACTGAATAGTGGCTTCATCTACAAATACTTTTATTTAGGCTCCAGTATCCTGAATTGTGAATTGCACCATCTGATCATTGCACTAAGTCTTTACAATATATACACTTCCATATACCAGA